GGAGGGGGTCTGGGGGAGGGACGGCTCCCTGTCCTGAGGCCCAGGCTTCACTGTGTCCCTGGGCTCAGGCTGCTTTGGCAACAACCCGGACCCCTCTTCCCAGAGGAGGGAGGCGGGGTCAGGCCGGGTCAGGCGGGGTCAGGCCGGGTCAGGCAGGGCCGGGCCAGTCACCATGCATCAGGGTCACCCAGGGCTTGAACCAAGGGGGCGGGGGCGGGGTCTGGCTCCAAGTGCCCACCTGCTGCGGGCTCCGCACCTGCCCCAGGGCTGCAGCCCGGACCAGCCCAGGCCGGACACCACCACCGGACACTCCATGGCTTTGGGAGGCCCACTTAGAGGTGGGGCGTTGACCTGGGGCCTGCCCCCCGTGGCGTGGGGAGTCCTGGGACCCCGGAGCTGAGGGAAGGCACATGCCCGTTCTGGGGAGCCTGGTGAGGTGAAGCGGGCCCCCAGAGGCCTCCTGAGAGCGTGGGCAGCTGGGCCCAGGGCCGTGGGGTCCCATGAGCCCCCACTCAACCTGGACACGACCCTGGCGGAGATACAGTGGGGGTGGACGTGGCTCCTGTCTAGACCTGTGGACCCCAGCTCCGGCCCGCCAGCCTGACCTCTGTCTGCCGGGACAGGAGACAGCGAGGATGGCCGGGTGGAGGAGGCAGAGTGGCAGTGTGTTAACCCCAAGCCCCCTCCATCCTGCCCAGGCTGGCCAGGCGACCGTGGCTGTGCGTGGGAGGACTCTGGAGATGGAGCCACTGCGGGGACAGCGATGTCCGATGTCCGATGACCCGCCAGGGGGCCTGGGCTTTGGGCACCCCCCTTTGCAGGGGATGGGTGTTGGGTCTGGGCAGCAGACCCCCCCCCTTCTAGGATCTGGACCTGATGCTTCCCTCCTACCCCACCCCTGTTACCGACTTGCGTCAGGTTCTGCCAACCTGTTGGAACAAACACAGTCTGGTTGCCATGGTGATCATAATGGCTTTGGGGTGAAGAGATGATCCGCAGCTGCTGTAAACAGGAAGTTGGGGTGGGCAGCTGCCAGGCTGCCCGGGGAGGGCTGCCCACCCCCCTGCAGGAGCCCTGCCCATCAGTCGGCTGGGGCTGGGTGACTCTCAGTGCTCTTTACAGGTGGGGAAACTGAGGCCCCGACGTACGAAAGGACTTTGGGCCCACTGACCTGCACCTCCATTCTCCTGAGATCTGTTCCCTGGGGGCTCGGGGAGCTTGCCGAACAACGGGCCCCCCATCCCGCCACTCCCCCATCCCGCCATTCCCCCATCCAATGGTGTTGAGACTGAGTCAGGCCGTCCTTGATCAGAGTCCTGGCTCCATTCACCCCTGCCCATCTCTTTCCACTGCCCTGTGCCTCAGTTCCCCTCATCTGTAAAGGGAAGGAACACCTGGAGGCTGGTCTCAGAGGTCTGATGTCCACTTGGGCCCAGGAGGAACTCCTCTTGCAGTAGGCAGAGGTCACTGGGGTCTGTGACCTGAGGACAGAGGCTGGAGACCGGGTAGGCAGTGCCTGCCCAGGGGCAGGCTGTAGGAATCTTCCTCTGTCCCGAAGAGCTGTGGCTTTGCTGGGTGTGTGCCTGGGCCTGGTCTCTGCGCTCACCTGCATCCACGGCAGATGCTCCGTGGGTCTTCTGTGGCCAGCACCAGGCACATGTGAAGCCGGCTCAGAAACTGGCTGCACTGTGGGAGTGTGGTTTCTTTTTTTTTTTTTTTGGTCGGCCGTGGGGCTTGAACTCTGGGCCTGGGCGCTGTCCCTCAGCAATTCAGCTCAAGGTGAGTGCTCTACCACTTGAGCTACAGCACCACTTCCGGTTTTCTGGTGGTTTATTGGAGATAGGAGTCTCATGGTCTCTCCTGCCCGGGCTGGCTTTGAACCGCGATCCTCAGATCTCAGCCTCCTGAATAGCTAGGATTACAGGCGTGAGCCACCAGCGCCCGGCTGGGAGTGTGGTTTCTGAGGGGCCCTGGGGGGGGGGGCAGAAGCCCCAGCTCAGCATCAGGGTGCTGACCCAGCTTGGGGGCAGGTCCTCAAACCCCGCATCCTGGGGCCCTCCCTGCTGGAGCTGACCCAGACGGGTTCCAGCAGGTCCACGTTAAGTACTGGGCCCTCCAACCTGGCATGGGTTGTCATGGCAACGCATCAGCAGCTCCAGACACAGGCAGGACTCCTCAGGCGGCCCGGGCACCTGGGAACTGGGGCTGCTTCTGCGGGGTTCAGGGGCCACGATGTGATGGAGATCCACCGCAGCCTGGCTGGCCACTGAGGTGGGGACACAGCTACACTCTCGCCTGAAAACCAGGTGTCTCCAAAACCCTCCTTGCTGCCGCTGCCACGAGCACTGTGAGCATCCCAGATCCACTCCCGGGGTGGGCAGGACGGCAGGAAAGGACACGACGTGAAGGCTGCAGTTTGTGGAAATGTTTTAATCGAGGATTCTTAGATACAGTGGTTAATGGGTTGCGCACAATTCCTCATGCTGGGACACTGCTGCCCTCCCCCTCCAACAGCATGACCGCAGTTCACGCTCTTGGGTTACAAGAGTCACAGCTCCGTTAAGCCGAGGACTGTGGTACAAAAGGAACATTCCATAGCTCGAGTCACTACAGTTTGCTAGAAACATCAATTGCTTTAGAATACTTTGAACTATAAAATATATCGAATTTTCATATATTAACCATATACATGTGTAACTATTACTAATGTCAGTCGTTACAAAATAAGACATTCAGGGAGCAGGCTACAAACGCACGCGCCAGCCAATCCCGCAAGCAAGGCCCCTGCATTAGTCCGCGCCCTTCACAGCTCAGCAGTGGACAGGGTGTGGGTGAGCACAGCTGTGCGCTGTGCCCTCGGGCCACAGGTACTGCCAGCTCTAGGGGTGCCTCAAGTCCCCAGACTGCAGATGGAGACACTGGCGGAGACCCCGGCGCCCCACCAACCTCCGCTCAATTCCCCAGGAACCAGCCCCAACCCTCCGTCCATGGGCTCAGGTCTCAGGTGACCAGCTGCAGGCTGGGTCCTCTGGGTGAGGGCAGACTGGCTTCAGACGGTCTCAGGAACAAGTCTGGTGCGCCCAGCTGTGTCCATGCCGCCTCCCTGCGCTCAGGCCGGGTGGGCACCGCAGGACCGCTCCTCGGGCGGCGCTGTGAGCTGCCGGGGGAGGTGCCTGCTGCCACCTGCTGGGGCTGGTGGTCCCCAGCAGGGCACCTCAGCCACCAAGCACGCAGCCAGGCCCCAGGGCCTGCACGAGCGGTCAGCGGGCACGGAGAGCAGACGCCGGCTGCGGGGTCCTCAGCCCTGGTCTTGACTTGGTCACTGTGAGCTCCCCCGTGGGCCAGGCCCGACTTCTGACCTCACGCTGAGGGCTGGTCGCGAGCTCCGACTTCACCAGGCTCCGCTGTCTACCCGGGGTGGGGAGCAGAGCGCAGACACTTCTGTGCAGTCCTATTTACAAAGAGCCAGGGCGGAGCGGGGCCCACGCGTCCCGTGCGTCGGGGCAGGGGCTCACCTCCCGGGTCCTGGCCAGAGGCTGGCGCCCAGCAGCCGCTGGGCCGGGTGGGGGGCGGCCACGCGCAGAGACGATAATGCAACAAAAACCTTTATATAAACAGTTTATTTACTCTAAACAGCAACACAGACAAAACGCCATATAAACACAAAGGAAGTGGTGCAGAATGGAGACGCCGGCTGACTTTGGATCTGAGGCTCATAAGCAACAGCCCGGGTGGTGGCGAGGGGGAGGGGGGGCCGGTGTGGTGGTTTTCATACAGCCAGCGGGGCTACAAAGGTCTGAAACGTCTGAAGCATGCCTGCTCTGAGAGCGAGCATCTCGCTCCTAGGGCTCACCCAGTATAAAAGTTTATCATCTTACAGCAGTTGAAATACTGACATCAATATTAAAATAAAAGCAAGTTTTACATAACAATCAAAAATACAAAAGACTGAAGGAAGAGACCCTGTATGAAAAACTGGGGCAATTCAGCGAAATCGAGAAGTGGATGCCAGTGGCGGAAATGGAAAATGGCGCCTGCCCACCCTCCCAGGCAGCGGGGAACTGTACGGAGCGACTTAGATTTGCAAAGTGTTGTAAACAAGTTCTTGCCAAACCAATCCCTTCCTTTTACCGTGCCGTGGGCGCTGCTTACGAGGGCGCGAACTTCTTGGCTTGTGCCCGAACCCTTTTCTCATACTCCACTCTGTTTTGGCAGAAGAGAGAAAAGACGCATTAGCAGACAGACAGACCCGGGGCCACCCAGAGGCCTGCGCCGGGGACGGCTCCGGGACGGGTACAGAGGAGGGGTGTGAGCGAGGAGCAGACTGGAGGGCTCCCCAAGACCCAGCTGGTGGTCTGAGGGTGGGGGGAAGGCAGGAAGGCTATGTGGCCACCCCAAAGTTTTCAGCGGAGTGGCCCTACACGTGGGCAGCGAAGAGGACTCATGACCGGACGGGATGTTATTTGCAATGATGCCTGGACCTAGGCTTTTTGGGGGGGGGGGTCAGTTAGGCTGAAACTAAGAGCAGGCTAGCACTCTACTACTTGAGCCACAGTTGGCTTTTTGGTAGTTAATTGAAGAGTGTCACAGACTTTCCTGCCTTGGCTGGCTTTGAACTGTGATCCTCAGATTTTAGCCACGAGTAGCTAGGATGACAGGCGTGAGCCACTGGTGCCCTGGCTATACCTTGTCTTTAAAACACAAAATAGGCTGGGAAGGTGGCTCAGTGGTAGAGCGCTTGCCTTGCATGTATCAGACCCTGGGTTCGAGTCCTCAGCACCACATAAGCAAAAAGAAAAAAGCTGGAAGTGGCGCTGGGGCTCAAGTGGTAGAGCACTAGCCTTGAGCTGAAGAGCTGAGGGACAGCGCCCAAGCCCAGAGTTCAAGCCCCTCGACTAACAAAAAAAAAAAAAAGAGCCAGGTGCCAGTGGCTCATGCCTGTAATCCCAGCTACTCAGGAGGCTGAGGACTGAGGACTGTGATTAGAAGCCAGCCTGGGCGGGAAAGCTGTGAGCCTCTTACCTCCACTAAACTACCACGAAGACCAGAAGTAAAGCTGTGGTTCAAATAGGAGAGTGCTAGCCTTGAGCGAAAGCAGTTCAGGGACATGCCCAGTCTGAGTTCAAGCCCCAGAACTGACAATGATGAGGATGAGGACAACCACAACAACAACCAACAACAGCAAGAAGAGAGCGGGGCGCTGGTGGCTCACCCCTGTAATCCTAGCTACTCAGGAGGCCGAGATCTGAGGACTGCAGTTCAAAGCCAGCCTGGGTAGGCAAATGCAGGAAAGTCTGCAGACTCTCATCTCTAGTTAACTGCCAGAAAACCAGAAGTGGTGCTGTGGCTCAAAGTGGTAGAGCACTAGCCTTGAGCAGGCACAGAGCCCAAGCCTTATGAAAATAAGTGCCACTTGCCCACCAATGGGCAAATACATCTATCAACACTGACACATCCTGGGCTCAAAGCCTCCAAGGAGCTGGGGCCACAGGCACACTCCAGTCTTACCAGCTACTGGCAGTAAGTCTGAGATTCTGTTAGCAATTGCGGAGAACAGACCGTGCAGCCACTAATTCTGGTTCATTTCCAAAAACCCAAGTTGCTCAGGGCAAGGCATGGTGGTCTAGGTCCAGATCCACTGCTGGGGCTCCATGAGGCTCAGCCTGAGAAGCCCAAGGGTGCACCTGGGACAAGAGCCCCGCCCCGGGAGCGCCGTGAGGACTGTGGGGCAGAGGGGCCAGAGCCAGGCCTCAGAGCGGTGGAGGCACTACAGGCCCCGCCACACACAGGCAGCTGCAGCGCACGCTCTTCCCCCGCACAGCCTCCACCTACGGCATGCGGCCTGGGCCCTGCCCTGGGGTTCGCAAAACTCCCAAGGCTGAGGATCAAACGGGCTGGCAGCCAAACAGACACACTCTAGAGACAGTGCCGACTTGGAGCAGCCCAGCACCAAGTGATGTGCACACTATCCCGGGCAGACCGGTGCCAGGACATAGAGGCCGACCACAGGGCCGCGACCCGTGGGCCTGGACATGCAGGAAAAGCACACCGCACAAAAGCGGTGTGAGGTGGGACGCTCACCAGAGGACTGGACACCAAGGGAGCAGCCGCGTCCAGCAGGCAATGCCCAGTGTGCGGAGGCCCCGACCTGCCCATGGCGGGCGCCCACCCCCGCCCGGCCCGCGTCGGCAGCTGTGGAGACCCAGCTTCGAGCCAGCCCTGCTCAGCACCGTGGGTGCGGGGCCCAAGGCCCAGGGCCACGGGTCTGTGCCCCGCCACCGCTCCGCTGGCCCAGGAGCTGCTGGCCACAGCCACTTTTGGAGGTCAGCGGGCCGGCGGAGGACTGCAGGCCATGAGACAAGGCCTGGCCTCGCCACGCCCCTGCTGGCGCAGGCAGACAGACAGCATGCACCTTTCCACAGCTCAGGGTCTGACACACGGCCGAGAGCCGGAGACCCAAGCCGGACGCCCGAGGGAGCCAGGTGGCAGGCCCTGCCCTGCCTCGGCCAGGAGAGACGGCGCCAAGCCGGCCGAGGTGCGCACCTCCCGGAGCTGCTCCAGTCCCGAGCGCCACCCTCTCCTCCCGTGGGAAGCCACACGGGAGGGGGTAGTGTCGGCCACAGGGAGCAATGGGGAGGGACCAAGGCAGCAGAAGCATGGCGTGTGGCGGTCCCTCTCATCCAGACCAGAC